CATTCAAAATATTAGAGAAATATAGAAGCTCAATGCGTAGAACATCTTGATTAGGTTAAAATCGAAACCAAGCCATTCACACAGAACGCATATTCAGCGCATTTTTTAGACGGACAAATATGACTGCTGCACTCGCGTCATGCAAAGTGAAAACAGTTTAAACGTTTAGAAAACACGTTGTGAATTTCTGGAGGTTTATTCTCTTTTGTTTTTAAATGCAATCTGTGTGAATGGCGCTTCGGCTCTTTGTATTAAGCAATGCATAAATACATTATGCTGCTTTGTTCATAATTGTTTATGCAATTTACGAAATTATATTAGATTTTTTTATATGTTAATTTAGACGTTATGCACGTTTTTTATAGACAGTTGTTATTTCATTGAACTGAATAAACAATTGCGCTGCATTATTTTGCTCATTGCGCCCTCCTGTGGCCTCGGGAGACCACAAATGCTTCCTTAAGACTTATTTAATCTGCATATAAAACATAAGAAAGATATTTGTTTAAATTTTATTTTGTGTCTGACTGTTAAAACAAAACAAAAAAAATATTTGTTGTCTTAACAAATGGAGTAAATTAAAAATACAGTGGTTACATTTATAAAAAAAATTATATTGCTCTGTTTTAAAAAGGGTTATAAAAAATGTCAATAATTATCGATACTGAACGATATGAAACATTATATCGTTGATACGTTTTTTAGCTATATCGCCCAGCCCTATTTAAAACTATGCAAAAATGTCCTAATTGTCCATATACTTACACTACCTTTTAAAAGTGAGATTTTGTTTTTGAAAGACGTCTCTTCTGCTCAACAAGGTGGCATGTATTTGATCAAAAGGACAGTAAAAACACTAATAATTTGAAATATTATTCCAGTTTAAATAAACTGAATACATTTTAAAATGTAATTTATTCCTGTGATCAAAGCTGAATTTTCAGCATCATTACTCCAGTCTTCAGTGCCACATGATCCTTCAGAAATCATTCTAATATGAACAGTTCTCATTATTATCCATGTTGAAAACAGTTGTGCTGCTTCATATTTTTGTAGAAACTGTGATACATTTGTTTCTTTAAGGGATAGAAGAACAGCATTTATACGCAATAGAAATATGTTGTAACATTATAAGTATTTTACTGTCACTTTTGTTCAATTTAGCATGTCCTTGCTTAATAAAAGTGTTTATTATTTAATTTCTTTTAAAAAGAAAACTGTTGGTGGTGCTTCGTAAGGGTCACTTTATTAAGAAATCCGATCTCTAATCTAAATGTTTGAAATAAAACATGCCGTTTTAGTTTTGTCATCAATCTACGTATCCTCAATTTCACTTTCCATTCTGTTAAAATATCCTTTCAAATGACTACCTAATGACATCCTCCAGAAAGTGACATCCTTTTTGGAGGGAAAAACAACAGCTTAAATGTCAATAAAACATTAGTGGATTTAATGATGTCTGTGAAGTTTTATGGTATTATTTGGTTTGTGTCACTCTAAAATATTCGATCGTCTTAAAAATAAATACGAAAATTGTATTACATTACCAACAACATTGAAGTTATCTTGAAAGAAAACGAACTCAATGCCCTCAGCAGACTTAAGCGAGCAAAATCTAACTTCAGCTATTTCCATCCTGTCTGTTTGCTTATCATTGTGCAAACAATCAAGTTCAAGCCTCGGAGTTTGACCTGTTATCTTCAGTCTGGTCTATTTTAGTAAATTAAAACAAGCATAAACAAGTGGTTAACATCTGATAGTCACAGAGTGTTCGGCGTAGCCTAAAGTTCGGGCATAACAGGAATGATCCGGCGTAGGAACACAGCGTCTCTAAGGCCTCTGACACTGCAGTTGTTCCCGTCTCATAGCTGAGCTACAGATTTAGCTGCGTTTAGTTTGTCAGGCTCACAGGTGGCTCTTTCTCAAACTGACCTGCCTCCGCTGCAGACACCAGGTGTTCGCCAGCACTCAGCTCTGTTTGCCGTCCCTCCTGCGTGTACGCTTTAATAGCATTATAACTGCGGGAAGATGAGAAAGGACCACGTTATGGTCCCCAGAGTCATTTAGCACATGCATGTCTATTGTACAGTGCTGTAAACTGACCATCCTTTATGTAACTGTTATTGAATCACCATGTGGATTTCAGGGAGGGTAGACTTAGAAAACATACATAACGTCATCATTTACTCACTTTCATGTCATTACAACCCGTAGGACTTGAGCAAATCAACAGTGCTGCTGGATATAAGACTGCTGAGCTACATCTCTCCAGATTTATTGTTATGGTCAGACCTTCACACTTAATCTTTTTTTTCCACAGCATGACTGATTCTATAAACAAAATATTAGGAGAAATGTTCTTCTTGACATTACAGCCTGCTTAGGACAAAGACCAAATCAACAAGGATCTACTACTTATATTTCAGTGTTGGCACCCGTGTAAAGTTGCACATACACAGTTTGTTTGCCAGTGATCCTGATCTGAAATCAGGTCAGATGACTCCCTGGAGTGTCTTCATAACTCATACAGTATCAACTGACACAGCACTGTTGGCAGCTTCTTTTTTTGGCCTGTGAACTTTAAAGGATCCAAGCCTTTTCAAGAAAGATCACTTCTATATTATTATTATTTTGTTATTATATTTAAATTGATTAATATGTTTATGTGTATTTATTTATTTTTGTAAAAATATTCAATATCAATGCCATTTACATTACTATTCAAACGTTTAAGGATAAGTATTTTCTGCTCACCAAGGCTGCATTTATTTGACTAAAAATACAGTAATATTGTGAAATATTACAATTTAAAATAACAGTTTTTTTTGTTTGAATATATATATATGTGTATATAGTTTAAAAATTCAAGGACTCGTGTATGTCAAAAATGTTCCCATCTGGCATTTCTCATGCTTTAAAATGTTTTAGTAAAAATATACAGTATATACACTGCTGGTCAAAAGTTTGGAATAATTAAGATTTTTTTAATGCTTTTGAAAGAAGTCTCTTTCAAAATAAATAGTAAAAATACAGTAATATCGTGAAATATTATTAGAATTTAAATTTTTTTTCAATTAACGTGTTTTATATTACTAATTAATTTCTATTATTTTGATATTTTAATTTCTATTAAAATATATTACTAATATATTGTAAAATGTAATTTATTCCTGTGATCAAAGCTGAATTTTCAGCATCATTACTCCAGTCTTCAGTGTCACATGATCTTCAGAAATCACTCTAAGATGCTGATTTGCTGCTCAAGAAACATTTCTGATTAATAATTAAGGTTGAAAACAGTTGTGCTGCTTCATATTTTTGTAAAAACCGTGACACATTTTTTTTTCCAGAATTCTTTGATGAATAAAAAGTTTAAAAGAACAGCATTCATTTAAAATTCACATCTTTTGGAAAATTACACACATTTTTTTTTTTTTATCAATTTAATGCAACCTTGCTAAATTAAAGTATTTTATTTAGCAAGTAAATAAAAAAAAATTGAATTGACCCAAACTTTTGATCAGTACTGTATAGTCAGTGTTGGGGAGTGACTAGTTACATGTAACGGAGTTATGTAATTTACTTACAAAATACATGTAACTGTAATCCGTTACAGTTACTGAGATTTTTTTTTTATTAAATTACATTTACATTTAGTCATTTAGCAGATGCTTTTATCTGTAACCTACTAAGTAACCTTCCCAACACTGAATATAGTGAAGTTGTGTTTAGAAATACATTCAAACAGGAAATTCCATTCCGTGCTTCCCTTTTCAACACAACTCTGACTACTTACAAGAGGAAGTACAGGCCCCACGATGCCCCGGCCCCCCAGATGTTGGGGGTCACACCCTGATAGAGACCTCTAATCCCTTCCAGCTTCCAGATGGTCTTCATGCAGTGCACCATGCCATCGTACTGGGGTCGCATTTTCAGACCATCACTTACTGGAACGAGTAAGAAACAGTGGGGGAAACAACACACTCCCACTTCTGCTTCAAAATAATCTAAAAATCTCTTTAAAAAAGACCAGTGCAAAGGTAAAACTAGCAGGCAAACTGTATCGTGCCCTCTGTGCGTGTTTTTCTAGTTTTCTGGGCTGCGTCTCAAAACCTCAGTGCTGTCAAACGATTAATCGCAGCCGAAATAAAAGTTTTGTGTGTGTGCTGTGTATATTGCTTTTGAAAGAAGTCTCTTTCAAAATAAATAGTAAAAATACAGTAATATCGTGAAATATTATTAGAATTTAAATTTTTTTTCAATTAACGTGTTTTATATTACTAATTAATTTCTATTATTTTGATATTTTAATTTCTATTAAAATATATTACTAATATATTGTAAAATGTAATTTATTCCTGTGATCAAAGCTGAATTTTCAGCATCATTACTCCAGTCTTCAGTGTCACATGATCTTCAGAAATCACTCTAAGATGCTGATTTGCTGCTCAAGAAACATTTCTGATTAATAATTAAGGTTGAAAACAGTTGTGCTGCTTCATATTTTTGTAAAAACCGTGACACATTTTTTTTTCCAGAATTCTTTGATGAATAAAAAGTTTAAAAGAACAGCATTCATTTAAAATTCACATCTTTTGGAAAATTACACACATTTTTTTTTTTTTATCAATTTAATGCAACCTTGCTAAATTAAAGTATTTTATTTAGCAAGTAAATTAAAAAAAATTGTATTGACCCAAACTTTTGATCAGTACTGTATAGTCAGTGTTGGGGAGTGACTAGTTACATGTAACGGAGTTATGTAATTTACTTACAAAATACATGTAACTGTAATCCGTTACAGTTACTGAGATTTTTTTTTTATTAAATTACATTTACATTTAGTCATTTAGCAGATGCTTTTATCTGTAACCTACTAAGTAACCTTCCCAACACTGAATATAGTGAAGCTGTGTTTAGAAATACATTCAAACAGGAAATTCCATTCCGTGCTTCCCTTTTCAACACAACTCTGACTACTTACAAGAGGAAGTACAGGCCCCACGATGCCCCGGCCCCCCAGATGTTGGGGGTCACACCCTGATAGAGACCTCTAATCCCTTCCAGCTTCCAGATGGTCTTCATGCAGTGCACCATGCCATCGTACTGGGGTCGCATTTTCAGACCATCACTTACTGGAACGAGTAAGAAACAGTGGGGGAAACAACACACTCCCACTTCTGCTTCAAAATAATCTAAAAATCTCTTTAAAAAAGACCAGTGCAAAGGTAAAACTAGCAGGCAAACTGTATCGTGCCCTCTGTGCGTGTTTTTCTAGTTTTCTGGGCTGCGTCTCAAAACCTCAGTGCTGTCAAACGATTAATCGCAGCCGAAATAAAAGTTTTGTGTGTGTGCTGTGTATAT